TTCAAAAAGAAGCTCAGAAATAATCAGAATTTCAAAGAGAAATAAAGTTAAAGAATGGACCATCTATACTAAACCTAATGTCAAACCCGAAGAAATAGGAGCTGAACCTATTAAACTTCCCAAGCCAACACCAAAAGCAACTAAAGCAAAGAGAAGCACAGTAAAGAAACTGCCTTCTATAATAACCAATTTTAAACCCTATGATATTGCAAAAGATTTGCTAAATTGACCTGCTTAAGCTACTTATGGACAACTATTGCAATATTCTAATCAATATAAAAACCTTGCCCAGACAATGAAAAGAAAAACTGTGGTAACTACTAAAGCTAACTACTTAGAATTGGGTCCAACAAAGAAAACTATTACTATAATGTATCATGTTAATATTGGAGAACAACCAGTAGTTGCTATACTTGACTCCAGTACTGCTATTAACATTATTACCAAAAAGTCTATACAAAGACTAAAATTACATATTACTAAATATTGTAGTAACTGCCAATAGAGCTAGAGAAAAAGCTCTAGGATTAATTAATGATATGAATATTGTATTTTAAAATATTGCAATCTCTATTGACTTGCAAGTAATCGAGTCCAAAGATAAAACTCTCTTGTTAGAAATGAATTGGTTTACAAAATCTAGAACCACTTTAGACTTTGACAACCATACTCAAAGATTAAATACTTGGAAAAAAGAGCTACTATCTTTATGACCAATATTAGTAGAAAGCCAATTTGATGAATTTGAAAAATTTACGGATGAAGATGAATGGATCAATGAAATCAAAGAACAAGATAAAGCAAAAACTTATTATACTGAAGAAGGAGATCAAGATGAAGACCTCTTATTCTACAACTTTTAAACTGATGTTGTTACTAATAACAACCTTGCAGTATATATTGCTTTGACTGCTAAAGTTCCTACAACACCTCTTCTAACTGTTAATACTTCTTTGAACAGACAACCAAAAGAAAAACTAAAAAAATTCTTTTAAACAACCACCAAATTTTTGCTAAAAATATTTCTGAAAAAGGACAAACCTTAGAACTAGAACAAACCAAAGAAGTTTGCCATGAAATTAATACTCCTGATGCTAAACCAATTAAACAACAAGCTTACAAAGCATTACCAAACAATTTAGAGTTCTTGGAAAAAGAAATTAAAGAAATAGAAAAACATGGAATTATTCAAGAATCAAATAGCCCATAGTCCTCACCAGTAGTTATTATACTTAGGAATAGGATCAGCTTAAAGTGAGCCAGTCTAGCTACAGCTTTTTAGCCAAACTAACAAAGCCAGCTTGAGCCAGCTCAAGCCTATCATATGATATGCAGTACATTACTTTCAGAAATACAAAAAAATCCTAGTTTGATTTTTAAAATATTTATTTTATATAGCAAAAAATCTTTTTTTATAGTAATATTGTCATGCCTGAAGTTAACACTTGACTGAAGTTGAAACTTCAGATATCTAAAATTGTATCTGACTGAAATTAACTTCTGAAATTAGATTATTCTGTATGCATTACTAGCAAGTTCTGACTTCAGACAGATCCCAACTTCAGGCACAACAATGATACTAATCTATGTTAGATAATGATACATAAAATGCTATTCAATAGTAGTAGTACATATTATGTGATAACTATATCAACAAAGTCATTCATGTTATTAAAAATTACCAATAGGAGGAAACATTAATATTACATATCTAGTTCCGCATATAATGTGATTAATTATTTATAAAATTATTTATATTAAGTTCAAAGTTATAATGTATATTACAGATATAATCTCTTACTGGTTAAACTATATATATAACTACAATGTTTCCTCCTGTTGAAATTACCTGGTTTGTGATTTGAAAAAAGGTGTGTGATAGTAAATCTAGTATAACTACCAATCTCAATTATTGAATGTAATTACTTTAATAATAATATCTAACAGTGTATATTCTATTAACATCACCTGGCTCAAAAAACTTTATTAGTTACTGAATGCTATATGTTTATTCATTTCAACTTCTACCTTTTCGATAATAGCTATTAGTATTAAAATCTCTATCACTATTATACTGGTCAAAATTTTTTAATATAAAAGGCTGATATTTGGAAGATAGCTAGGTGAAACATCTAAAAACAAATATTCGAATATCGTATAGATGATATAAATATAAATAA